CAGGTGAATGACAGAAAAAGAAGAAGAAAACCCTTAATATAGTATTATTGATTCAAGTTTGTTTTTATAAATGCATGCATTTTAAAGAAGTATAGCACCTCTAAAAGGATGGGCGAGGTGAAGTGAGAGAGGTGATTCATGTCGCTCGCCATCTTCGGTTTTACCTATGGTGTAAGGCGGTTGCCATCGCCCCCTTTATGGATTGGTCTTTTTTTCTTTTAAATTGCGGCCTCAATTACTAATTTAAAATAACCCTGCTTGTGCGCATCGCTTCTCTGCCTCTCTGCGCAGCATTCACTTACCTAATTGACCTCTCGCGTAGCCATAGTTTGTGAGTGTTATTCTTATATTTATTTTATTTTGATTTTATTTAGAATATTTGCTCAACATTAATGCTTATTATTATTTTTTGATTTATTGATTTATAATCTCTTGTTTTATACTCTGTACGTGTAGTATTTTTAATGATTATTATGATTTGTTCAATTTACTTTTGAGAAGAAAATTCATGCATATATCTAGCTCCCTATCGAACTATTACTCCGTAGATATTGTGTTTTATGCGCGCACACACACATAAATATGTGTGTGTGTGTGTAGGTTTTAAGTAAATAATTGAGTTGTTGACATCTGTTCTTGCCTCTTTAAATATATCATAATATTTTTCCATTCTGTAACAGTAGTTGTGCTTGGTTTGCCTGTAGAGAATTTCTAGTATATTTATATGCTTATGATTAGTCGATTCCTAACTCCGTCAAAGCCAATCATATTCTTTTTCAGACGTTCAAGTATTTCTGTGATGGTATGACAGATGAAGGATTGGTTCGCATGTTACGGATCATTAAAAAAGATCTTAAACCGCCTAGACGTCACAATAATGATGGTGATGAAGAAGAAGATGATGATATTCTTGGTATTGAAGATACAGAATCTGATGAAGACGAGATTAGTGAAACCGCTGAAAGTGATAAGCATAATGATGACTCTAAGGCAGTGAAAGGAGCTGATGAAGGAAGTGCAAAGCTTCAGGATGCTTCCGATGATTCTGATGTGGAAATGGATGATGATGCAATGTTTCGGATGGATTCCTATCTTGCACGCATTTTCAAGGAACGGAAGAACCATTCTGGTGATAGTGCTCAGTCACAGCTTATTCTATTCAAACTCCGTGTACTCTCCCTTTTGGAGATTTTCTTGCATGAAAATCCAGGCAAGTCTTTGATATTCTATCAAGTTCATATTATTTTCCTGAGTATATAGTTTGTGAATTGTGATCTTCTTTAGGGCAACTTATGGACTCATGATATAATAGGTATTGATATCGTAAGTGCTTTAATGCCTAAAGTGTTTTTTTTGTCATAGCACTAATATGGCTTGCATTTAATTACACATTAAGTGTGTCTTTTACTATCAAAAGCAGTCTTGTTCCCTGTAAGAAGTACAAATGCATGAAAACGGTGTCAACTCACTGTGTTAGTGTTGCAACTCTGTTTCTTTTGCCATATGCGTTATATTATCAAAATCCCTCAATTGTGTTATTGAAGCTATCAACTATAATTCTGGATGGGGAGGTTGTAATTGTGTTTGTTGTAAATTACTGTCTGTAGATAATAGGCTGCGTTTCATATTTAGTGATTTTTTATGGTTGACTGATTAAAACAATAAACAATTTGTTGGCATGATAATTGGAGCAGCATCATCATCAAGATGAATAAAGTGGGAAATAGATAAAGGATGGATTGATTGGTTTTTTAATTTTTTAATTCCTGAGTTTGGGAGTTGGAAAAGATACATCGATAATTCCAGTTATTATGAAAGCCCATGGTGCCAAATAGATTGAGATCACTTGGGGTCAACTTGCAAAATACTCTCTCGATTATCTGATTTGTCTTTATAAGGGGCAGATATAAACAGATGCCTTATAAATTAAGATTTTGAGGACATAGTTTTCGTAAGATATGTTTTTTAGTTTTTTAAAGCAATGAAAACTAATGATAGCAATTCAAGCAGACACGTCATTTAGCTCTAGCGAGGTAGTATTTTGAACAGAGAGTTTGAACCCATTTTGTTCTTGTTGAGGATGTGGTCTTAGATAGGAATGCATGTAGATCTAGTATTAGAGTATTTTGATCGACCTGGGAGCCTTAGTTCGTTTGCCCATACTTGTGTATTTGAGATTGGGTCTCTTGGAAACAGTCTTTCTACTTCTATGTAGGGGCAAGGTTTGCGTACACTCACCCCCCAGACCCTACTTTGTGGGATCCTTTGGGTTTGTTGTTGTGGGTAAACTTGTGAGGGCAATTTATTTGGGATGGGTGATATACTGATTTTGTAAAGGATACTCCATATATAGATTTTTCCACATTAGTCCATTACACTAAACCGTAAATAGTACTCCATAACTATTACTCTCTTTTAAAAAATATAAATTCAAAGATTATAATTCATTCTTGTGCAAAGTACACTTGTGTTTCACAATTTCTCTCCCTTGTATCTGCAAATGCATTCTAATGTGTTACTTCCATGTGTGCACAGGTGATCCACGTGTGTTGACAATCTTTCAAAATTTGGCTCAAGCATTGATAAACCCATATGCCACCAAAGGCAGTGAACAGCTCAGTCAACGTATATGGGGGATATTGCAAAAGAAGATATTTAAAGCAAAGGATTACCCTAGAGGGGAATCCATTCAGCTTCCTTCACTTGAATCCCTCTTAGAGAAGTTTCTGAAATTGGCTTCCAGACCATTCAAGAAGAAGGCATATGCTCCGAATGTATCAAAGAAGAAGCAATCCACTTCTTGGGACCGACACAAGATGATCAATTCACTTGCACAGAATTCCACATTTTGGATTCTGAAGATAATTGAGTCCAGAAATTCCTCAAAGGGCAAACTTGAAAGAACTTTAAAACTTCTCAGGAGCATTTTGAAAGGCTATTTTGATAAGAAGAAGTCTCTACTCAAACCTGATTTCTTGAAGGAAATCTTCAAGAGGAGACCGTGGGTGGGCCACCACCTCTGCAGTTTCCTCTTAAAGAAATGTAGCAATGCAAAGCTTCAGTTCAGGCAGGTCGAGGGTCTTGATCTGGTCCTCGAGGTACTAAAGTCACTGGCACCCGCAAGCTCCGATCATGACCAGGCCAAGAAAACAATAAAGAAAAAGGTTCCAAAGCTATGCCATCTGATCAAGGTGCTAGTGACAAACATGCCCGAAAAGAAATCCAGAAGGGCAGATGTGAAGAAATTCTGCAGCAAATTGTTTGCCTTTTTGTCCACCCTTGACCTGACCGGATCTTTCCTGAAAGCTTTGGAACCCGACGCACACGCTGCTTGTGAATCTCAACTCGGCGATACATTTCTTGCTTTAAAGAAGCAGGAAAGCTAGCATTTCTTTACAGAACTATAAAACAAAATCCAGGCTTACTATACGTCTCCACGGTGAGATCTTCGGGTAATGGAAATTATACGACATCCATATAGCTGTGATTTTCTTCTTCTTCAGGTGGAATCATGATGTCATCTTATGCAGTTTTGTTAGTCATTGAAGATTGAGAGATAGTACTATTGTTAGAATAGTTTGCTGGGTGCTGCTGGTCTAACACTACAAGGACTCAAGGAGTTGGACATGTAGGTTTTGAGCTGTTGAAAGAAATGTTTGGTACTTTTAGGATGGCTATATGATAATGACATTTGAGTCACCTTTTGGTTTGGTTTGACCTCCCATTTGAGTGATGGAACACTGCTTTATTTAACTCCCAATTTTTGTTTGGAACCTTCTTTTCAGTTTTTTTTTAATTAATGAAAAATCTTATCTACATGGATTTATTATTGTCCTTATTCTTGTTGTTACTATTGTTAATATTATAATGATAATAATATTAAATTATCTCGTCCACACCCTGCGTCGCTCTCTATGCTACTCCGTATTAAATTATTATTAAAGTGTATATTTTTTTTCAAATATTTACAATAGAAGCTACTTTTTTAACAAAAGACATTATTCTTCTACAAAATCACATAAAATATTATTGGAAAATAATTGAACCTAGAAATCAGTATTTTCTTTTAATGTTCAATTTTTAATATTTTAAAATTTCCTTTTTAAATTTTAAGCTTAAAAAAGCATCTCCTTTTTTTAATCTTTGGGTTTTTTAAAAAACCCAGTTTTAATTTTTTATTTCCCTTTTTTTTCATTTTTTAAAATTTTAAAGCTTTTACTATTTGAGTTTTAAATTTTAGTTTAAATAGTTCAAATAAAATTAGGTGTTAAAAATAATATTAACAAAATAGACAGAAAAAGGAAGAGAAGAGGAAGAACATCCTGGAAAAGAAAAAACTAACTTGTGGTTGAGTTGGCCGAAAGGGAAGAGGGGTACCATACTGAACAACTTAAGACTTCGTTTGGTATACGGAATTCAAACTATGAAATTAAAATTGGAGATAATAATTCCAATTCTGCTGTTTGGTAGCATAAAAATATGTTGATTTGAAATTTATAGTGCCAAAAATGAATTGGAAGTGGAGAATTCATTTCTATCAAAATTAGTTTCATAGAATTTCAACTTCCAATTTAATTCTAATTCCATCAATTCTGTGTACCTAATAGACACTAAGACTTAAACTTTATAAACTTCAAAAAATGCTTGGAGTATTCTAAAAGTGTACGGTGTACCCCAAATGTACCTCAAATACTCTTGCACCACACACATTTAGTGTAAAAAAGAAAAAAATGAGTAGAAATATGTAGTTACAAAATGAGCTATATACTCTATATTTTTTGCAAAAATGCTAGGGGACCCTAAAATTTTGACATCAAATACACATCAAAGCTAATAGAGATTAGAGACACAATCTGATATTTAATACTCCCTCCGTCCCCAATTTGATTACAAATTGCGGGTTACGGAGTAAAATTTTCTACCTTTTGAAATCATTTTATTTACAAATTGGTATATCAATAAGATATAAAAATTACATATTAAAAAACTACGTCAAAAGTTCTACAAAACAAGAGGTGACAAGAATATTTTATTTTATCAAATACTTAATGAAATCGCGTAAACAAACAAAAATTATCGGAAAGAGAGAGAAAAAATATTGTAATTTATTTTAGGGGACTATTTATGTGTCCACACACATTAAATATCTTGATACGTCTGTATTGGCTCTTGCATTCCCTTTTGCACCTTTGCCAAAATTTATTTCGGGAAAGAGGCGCCATGAATGAGGCAGTTGGCCAGCGTGGAAGGAAGCTGGCCATGGCACCGACCTTCATTTATCATTCCCGCACCAGTCAAACCAACGATCATCCATCGCCAATCATTTTCTACTTCCCAATTGATTTTTCTTCAAACACCGCCGCTGGAGTACGATATCAGATTCACAGTTCTCCACATTGCTTTTGACTCCCACGGATTCGACAATTCGGAGGTCCGTTCAGTATTTATCCTTTATTTCGCGTTTGTGTGGATTTTGATTTTTAATATTTTGAGTTCTGTTGTGTGGTATTGATGGTTGGATGGATTAGTTTTGTCGGAAAATGGGGAAGAAGAAGGTGATGTTGCCTGCTAGTGAAGTCGATTTGACGACGGTGAAGTACGTGCCGGAAAAAATTCAAGGTCATGGCTCGATTTGAGATGTTTCCTGTTATTTGCAGCTCCACTTTTGATTTGATTTTTTTTTTCTGATTTATCTCGTTGCCTGAATTGATTTTTGGGGTTTTGGATGATCAATTGAATTTGCAGCTCCACATTTGACTGGGGTTGGGTTGCAGTTGTTTGTCAAGTTAGCTGAAGCGCCAGGGATCGGGTCATTGATTATGGAACACTTGAAGAATCAGAATCGAGTAGTAGAGGTCTACTTAGTGATTGCAGCTCACTCTTAAGTGTTAAAAACCATGGATTATTAGTTTGTCATCTGTATGACTGTGTCATGTGGGATTGATTGTTGATCATTGTTTATTTGTGATGGACAGATGTTGAAAAATACCGTCATTCCAGAGACTCCCATGTTTAAGCCTGAGTTCCCGCTTCAAGGTTCACTTTTATACTCATTTTATTCGTTTGTATTATACGGAGAGTTTTCTTTGCAACTTCTTTTTAGGTAAAGAAAACATGAAAGGGAAAGGAAAAAGATGCTTAGAAACATGATTTCTGTAGGTCTCATTTTACCTTGTAAAATATGAGTCAAAATCAAATTTGATTGAAGCTTTGTAATACCTTACATTCATTTAGATTTCTTAGTCTTTGTATAATTTTAGATATCTAAATTTGATTAATTGAGTTTGAGCTGATTTTTTGTTTTCTATTTTTCTATTTCATTTTCACATACTCTGTCCCCCTATTATGCCTGATAGTTGGTGGGGTACTTAGCTGTATACCTTTGTTCATTCTATTTTACCAATGGAAAAAAATGCTGATTATTTGGTTTGATCATTTAAGTCATAATGTCACGTAGAAAACCTCATATCATGTGTGTGTGTATAGTGACTTATGATTTAAAAGCCTGTAAACAATTAAACTTGGCATTGACCCAATGCTTGCACTACATGAGTTTAGACCCAGAGCACTGTGTATCTTTCTTGGAAGAAGATGGGAACCCTCAAGACAGAGTTGGCGTTGCCTTAAACTGTCTCCCACATTATGATCCCATGAGCAACTGGAGCTCTAGTTCGAATGTGTCATTCCGCTACTGGAAGATTCGTGACTATGCTCATGCATATAGATCAAAGTTAACAACTCCATCAGTGGCAAGTTACCTAATAATTTTTATATCTTCATCCTTCTATCTTTTACTTTGTATAATTATTCATGATAGCAGACATTTTGCTACAGGTTGCTGAGCACTTTATCTCATCCATGGAGGAGTTTGACAATAAGAACCCAATGTCCCCCCTATTGATATCGTTCAACCCTGATGAGGTCAGAAAGCAGGCTACAGCTTCCACACAAAGATTTGAGGATGGTAATTAGACTCTTCACATGTTACATTCATTTACTCCCTACAACCATTGAAAACCAGT